ATGATCTGCCGAGAGGAGCAGCCCGTCAGCCCAGCCACCCCCAAAGCCTGTCCTGCCAAACCTCCTCTCTCCTCATGGCTCCAGGGACTGACCAGGAACCAGCCTGCAGGGACCAACAAGCAATTCTACAATAGGAATAACCTATTGTTTGTTTTTTTTCTTTTGCTAGTATTGACTATTGTCAACCAGTCCATTCCAGTACCTCACATAAAACTCCAACCCTCCTCCAGCCCTTCCTAAGCTGCCACAGACATCTTTTATGAAAAATCCTTTCCTTAGGATTTTTCCTCCTGAGAAGCTGAGAGGCCTCAGAAACAAAATGTAAACATTGATTATCTGCTGCTGTGGAATGCAACAGGTGCATCTGTGATTGGTCTCATGTCATTGTTTTTAATTAATGGCCAATCACAGTCAGCTGGATCGGACTTTTTGTCCAAGACCCAAGCCTTTATCATTCTTTCTTTTTCTATTCTTAGCTAGCCTTCTGATGAAATCCTTTCTTCTATTCTTTTAGTATAGTTTTAATATAATATATATCATAAAATAATAAATCAGCCTTCTGAAATATGGAGTCAGATCCTCGTCTCTTCCCTTATCCTCAGACCCCTGTGAACACAGTCACACTAAGCTCTTGGTTTCATTGTCTCCCATGCCAATGAGCTCAACAGTCAGAGAATGTGCTGCCTAAATAGGAGTCTGAGAAATCCCTAAAAACAGAAATGTTCTTTCTTTAGTTAGTTTCCTTCCTGATACTGGGCAGCCCAGGACTTAAGCAGTTTCCTGTTATCCTGTTGAAACTATACTGTATATTTACATCTGCTTCCATTAATTAAATTTAACAGCTGGATAAAGCAGGCAAGCTTCCAGGAGCTGCAAGCCCTTCTTTGGGACTCCTCAGGCCAGTGCTCTCACTTATTCCAAACATACGAATCAACGTAATGAAAATATTGCCTTCAGCTACAAACCTTGCTCTGTCCTTACATCATCACAGCTGTGGTTTCCATAAGACCTCTGTGCTTTATCCCAAGGTTTTACGAGCTTTTTTAATCCACAGTTGCACACTCAACAGGAAGCTTAATGGGCTCACACCTACTGACACCACGTTCTGATTTAATGTTAGCCCAGATACAGCTCAACAATATTTCTAAGTCTCCTGTGAGCAAAGATTAGGTGCAAGACATTTAACAGAAAAGAAGACAACAAGGCAAAATGTGATTGAAAATTTCACTACACTCTCCTCTGCTTTAGTGCTGCCACCAGGCTGCAGGTCACAGACTGACCTGCTTTGGAAGGAATTGTTTTCCCACTCACTCAGTAAAGCCCAGCCACCAACCACACCAATTAGTGTCACTGAGAGGAGCAGTGGGAAGAGCTGGGTATTGTGGTTAGTTCTGGTCACTGCATGTGCTCATTTGGGCCCTGCCCCCTTGGGTCACACTTAAAAGTAATGAGCAGGAGGCAGCACCAAACCCAGGTGCCCTTTGCAGACACTCAAAACCACTTCTGAGGACCCATAAGCAGGACTACAGCACCACTGATGCAGCACTTTTCAAAGTCCTAAAATATAACCAGGTTTCTATGGGGACAGTAGCTGTGCTACAGCCTACATTCTGCTTGGGGCAGAGCAAATGTCCCCAGTGATTCCAGCCCTGCTACTGCACATCCAACATAGCAGAACACAATTCTGTCCTTCAAAATGGCAGCAGAAAGCCTGAGCTGAGAGCTGCTGCTCATGCTGCACACCCCTGATCACCAGAGTCACAGCATGACAAACACAGCTCTGAGCCACCACAACAGCTGAGGGATCTCAGCCAATAAGACTGGTGGGGAGAGAGAGCTGCCAAACTGTACCTGGGCTGTGAGAAGTGTCTGAGCACAGAGCCCAGACGTGCCGGGGCAGAGCTCAGCCCGCAGACAGGTCACAGCTGCCAACGCGCTGAACGCAGCGAGCAGGGAGCTCAGCCATGGCCCTGCCTCTGTCCCTCTGTCCCAGCTCACTCACCTTCTGCATGCCCAGCTGGCAGGGCCCCACGTAGAGAGGAGGAGGGGTCTCTGTGCTGGTCAGAGAAATGTTGTCCTGGCTGGGCAGGTCCATCTCCCGGATGACCTGAGGCTTGAGCTTCCCATAGCGCAGGCTGCAGTGCCGGAGGCTCTTCCTCTGCCATTTCTGAGTGGCATCGCTGTCTTTGCTCACCCCAAACCAGTCTGCTGTGCCTCTGAAAGATGCCAGCAGACAAGTGCTAAGGAGAAGGATGTTTGCTTGGACTGTGCAGGTGAAAAGACAAAGCCCTGGTGGTCACTTCCAGCCCACCCCAATTGAATGACAGAACTCTTGCCCAGGAGCATCTCGCAGCTTGTCCTCAACCTGACAGATGCTGGCCAGAAATGTTTGACCATCAACAGCATTCTGTCTCTTAAGACAGAAGAAAAATGACAGGAGATATTCACTGTGGGCAAAGGACAGTTTGTTCCGAGTTTTTCTAAAAATAAAGGAAAAGAAATGATACAGAAATTCAGAAAATAACTTGGTGAAAGGTGTTTTACTTTAAAAACCATCTATTGCACACACTTACCATCTTCAGGCCAGCTCTAGGTCCCCATTGTGAGACTGTACTGTTTCACAGCTCTGTGACTTGTCCCAAAACCACCAGAAATCTCTTTTCTCTCCCAGCCTCCCCTCCACACTCCCAGAACCTCCCTAACTTCTCCATCTCATGCTGCAGGGTTTCTAACCTCCTCTAGGGTAGCACAAAGAGCAAAACTTGCTGCAGTTCTGGTCTCTGCAAAGGCAGACACACACACTTCTAAGCTGCTGGTTGCAGAAGCAGGAGCACAAGGCTGCAGCCACGAGGCAGGTTTGCTGCCAAGTGCCTGGTGCCACAGAAGAGCAGTGGATCAGAAGCAAAATCCCAGGAAGGCAGGGAGGGATCAGGATAAGTCAGACTAAAAGCCTATTTCAAATCCTGCAGGCCAGCTGGTACCCTAAACTTGCAGGGGTCATGGCAGCCCTGCCAAGCAGTTCCCACCATGGCTGATCCATCCTCAGGAGATGACAAGCTGTCCCAGCCTACAGACTGGCCCAGGTGTGGAAATCTGAAAGTGCAAGCCAAATCCAAACCCCTGGCCTCAGCCCCCCTGCTCAGGGGCAGGATCTCCAGCTGCTGAGAAGCAAGACCTCACAGATCACAAAGAGAGCGTTAAAATACACACTGGAGTAAAGGCTGGGATAAATCCAGAATTAGGCCACACAGGGGAACTGAGATAGTGCAATGGAGACAGGAAATTAATCCTGTGGTTTTGAACCCTTCCAAGCAAAAACCCTACCAACCAACAGGTGAAGGTGCTCTGCCACCATGTCAAAAGGTGTGTTGGAAATCCACAGCCTTGCTGGCTAAAACCCAAATGCCACCAGCAAGTCAACATGCCAGCCTTTGGAGATGGGGCTATGTGAAAATCGTGGGGCACCTCTGTGCTCCCACAGACCCACAGCTCCTTGGAGCAATCTTCCTCTCCACCCAGAGCAAAGGCCCAGGGCCAGCCCCTGCCCTGACAGACCCACCAAGCCCATAGCACAGAGGCCAAGCTGCCCTGGCACAACACACACCTCACAGAACAGCCTGAGCACTCAGAGGGCTCCCCACAGACTGCTGTAACCAGGACTTCAACAGCAGGGTGACCTTGGGTGACAAGCCCGTACACAGGGCCTCAAAGGGAGAGGGGCTGAGGGTGACTTGGGCCCATATGAGCCTCAGAGATCTCCAAAGCTGTGCTCCCACTGGTCTGAAAGGACAAGCACCACCACAGCTGCTGGCACTGTGAGGAACACTCCAGAACTGCCAGAGACCACTGCCGGGCCAGGGCCAGGGTGAAGAGCTGTCCCACCCCTCTCTGATCACAGCCAAAAAAATCCACTAAAGAGTTTAGGGCACCCTGGGAAGATGCTGAATGCCTCTGTTCAGCTGGAGAACTCCATCACGTCCTATGGAGTCCCCAGGGCACTGTAACAACCAACATCAGAGTCAGCTGTCCCTCTTCTGCCACGATGAGCCAAGCAGCCCTGAAAGCCAAACACAAGCAGCCCCAGAGGTGTGACAGTGCCAGAGTGGCAGCAGGCCAAGGGCAGGATGGTAAGACAGGAATACAGGGCAGTAGGTCCAAGTCACACTGTCTGTCTGGTTTAAAAGTTTCCTAAGCTCTAGATTTGGGGTGATGGTCAATGGGCCCGTTGTGCCCTGGACTCCTGGAGTGGCTCATCTCCTTGGTGCTAAGCAAACCTCCACCTCAAAAAGAAGACAGTCACATTTGCATTAGAAAAAGCCATGATGTCAACAGGGAAAGAGTGGATGCTGTATTCCATTCATCAGCTCTGAGCTCCTCTGGACAAACACAACAGCATCTGTTTGGTGCTGCTTCCACTCCTTCCCCTCCTGCCCCAAGAAGGCTTTGGGGCCAACATATGCTGCACTGCTGCCAGCAAAGGCAGACTGGGCTGAGGCTGCCCTGGGGAGATATTCCAGCTATGGTGAACACCAGGAGGTTGACAGCTTGTTAGGAAAGGCAGGAGGGAGTGAGGCTGGCAGGTGGACAGCTTGTTAGTCCATGCTACTTATTGACAGCTGCCTACACATTTAGTAGGAGTGACAATTGTTCTCTGTTAGAGGCACACATGAACTCTCTCACTCTGCCTGTCTGTAGGCCTCTTGGGCAGCCCTGGGAAGGCAATGTGCTCTCAGCAGCAGGCAGCCTCTGCGCAGTTCACAACAGCCCTGGCACACACATGCAGGGTGGGTGTCACACTCAGTGCTACCAGTACCTGAAGAACGATCGGGGCAGGGACTGCCGCTTTCGCAGGGAGCTCCTGCCCCCCCGGCGCCCGCCCGCGGGCAGGGTCTGACTCCTCTGAAACCGAACCTGCCTGCTGCAAAGAAAAGAGAGCTGAGGGCAAGGAACCTCCAGGGCTCTGGAGAGGAGCAGCCACTGCATCTCCTTCCACAGCCCATGGGCAGCAGTGGTGCCCCACTGCACGTGACAGTGGCCTGAGCTGAGAGCACGACCTAAGAAAAACAACCAAGCTCAAGCCACACAGCAGCAGCGTCTTTGAGCCCAGGAGGCTGCTGAATCCTCTTGGTGCACCTGTGACATGTGTCTCACATTGCTCTGGAAGGTACCAGGGGTACTGCCACCCCTCTCAGCTCCCCTGTAAGAACTGCCTTCTTCAGCTACAGATTCCACAGCTGGCTCTGGACACCAGTGTGAATCCACGGAGGTGTCAGCAGGCTGAGATATGATCTGCTTAGAGACAGGTGACTGGTGCCCTGACAGGATCTTGCCTGGTGAACAAGTCTATCTGTGGCCCATCTGCTGCTTTGCATGGACATCTCAGACACCCTGGAAGACTGGAAATGGTGTTAGATGCTTTCATATGAATCACTCCCATGCCTTGTTCTGGACTACACAGGCTTGACATTATGTTCATAGTTGATCTGTGTCCTCCAGGGAAGATGATATGGAGTCCTGCTGCAGTTTCACATTCTGTGTATTCTGAGGGCTGTGTTAAACAGAAAACTTGGCAGTCAGCCTTCCTGGACTCACAAAACAAATCCCAAAACACAATTTAGGGATGTATGGTCTGCATTCTCCACTGTATTCCTAGCTCTGCTAAATGGAAAACAGGGATTTAGGCCTTGATACTTTCCATTTCCCTGGCCTTGTTTCTGATCCACTCATTTCATGCTTTTATTGCCAGTGTTGTGTAACATGTGCATCTCCTGCAGTTCTGCTCCTTGTTAAGTCCTTCCCAAAGTAAGTCTGTCACAGTAGCACCAAAGCAGTTCCCATTTCCTCACTCCCCTACATACAAACTGCATGATGTGAGGACTTCTGGGACAGGTTAGCCAGGTTTTTCTACCCAGTGCTTCTTGTCAGGGCCTCCATAGCACCCTCCCAGGATATCCCCTCATCCTTGACGTGCTCTTGCCTAGCTGTCCTGGCAAGGAACACGTCAGGAGCAAGGAGGCAAGGGAGGAGGCAGAGAGGTGGGCAAGGACAGCCTCAGCAGCCCCAGAGGCTGCCCACAGCCCTGAAAAGAGCAGACACCACTTCACAGGCTCAGCTCTCCCTGCCTCACAAGAAGCAGGATCAGAGTGGGCTGATGCAGGAGAGATGCAGCACCAAGAAGGTCTGAGGCAAAGGAAAACAGTGTGTGGGAGATGTCCCAGAGCTGGAAAGCTGCTCCTTTGTGAGGGGGCGAAGCCTGGCTGGCTGAAAGTACCCCTGACCCCTGGAGCTCCAGGGATGCTCCTGGGATCCAGGCCAGCCTGACACACTGCCAGAGACAGAAATGAGCCATCTCAGGAGGGAAGCTGGGAGAGCCACTCCCTCTGGGCAAACTGGGATAAGCCTTTGCCATGGTGAGGGAAAGAGCATCCAGCTCTGTGTGGCCATGTGTCCAGAGTCTCATAATGACAACCCTTTGCAGGAGTGGGACAGAGGACCAGAGCAGCCTCTCCCTGCTCTCCACCACCCCTCAGTGCCATCTCAAGGACCTTCCAGTGCTACGAGCCAAGCTGCTGAGAGCCCTGCACAGCTCCAATGGGCTTCTGCCTCCCCCAGCAACCATGTGCTCTCAGACACTGCACCAAAGCACGCCCAGCACACCCCACCTACAGTCACAGCAAAACATCAGGGCCTGGCACATCCTGTTACTGAGAAACAGCCTCCCCAGGGCATGGGGGCAGCCAGAATCTGTCTGTAAGTGGCAAACACCATTCATTGTCCTGGTCACCAGCATCTTCCTCCCAGGACTTTCCTCCTCATGCACTACGGACAGGCTGCACAGCACCACTGGGCTTCTACACTGGGGTCCAACCTGCACCCACCCTCCCACCGCCTCCCAAGGCAATGAGGGGCTGCAGGATGGCAGGACGCAGTGCAGCAGGCCCCAGGAGCTCCGTGCCTCACCTCTTGATGGTCTGGGTGATGGAGGTCTGGCGCTGCAGCCCCGCTCTCCTGGCGGGGTCGTGCGGCAGGGACGGCGCGCGGCTGTTGTCGGCCGGCATGCTCACGCTCCGCAGGAACGCCTGGCGCCGCGTCGGCTGCGAGGGAAGGGAGGGAGCCACAGTCAGACATCTGGGGTGGGCAGGTCAGAAATTCAACATGGACTGCCTGAGCTCCTGCAGCACATCATCCTCCTGGCTGCTGGCTGCCCAAACCACACTCTCCTAGGCTGCTCCACAAGGTCAAGGCAATAGGCCGCTCCACAAGGTCAAGAGAAGCGCAGTCAGGGCGATTTGCTTCTTAAGTGGCTCTGGAGCTGCACTAAAAGCCTGTGAGAGCTGTGGGTGGGTCTGCAGTTGCTGCCTGGTGCAGCCTAAGCAAGCTGGGAAAGGCTTTGTTCATAGCCTAGCTGCCTGGGCACACTCACGTCATGGCTAAATGTCACCTACCAAATGTGACACAACTCACCACACTGCTCTCAGCTCACACAACTGCCTCTCCAGGGCTGCTCTGGATTTCATTTTTATCAGCTCAGCAGAGACACCATGTCCCATTTGTACAGGGCAGGCTGAGCAGACTGCCCCTCTGGCAAGGGAAGCTCTGATCGATCCTCTGGTCAGACACTGTCTCTGCCTCAAGACTACTTCAGCCTCTCTAGCCCAGAAAGATAATGATTTCCACTTACATTAACAGTTTTGATATCTTTTATGTAAAAGCAGCGCACAGATACTCAGGTTGTAAGTCAGAGGTGCACACAATGCACTCTTATCCTGATAGCCTGGGCTGTGCAGAGAACATCACTTCCACCAGTTTCCATCATAAGCACAGAGTGTCCTTCCAGGTGCCCAGCTGGATTTAGAGATTCCAGATAGGGCAAGGATACATCAGAGCCTTAAATAATTCATTCAGAAAGTTTCAACTTGCACTGGTAAAACCCTGAACTCCCCTTCTAATCCCTACAGACTGACCTCCAAACCCTTTTGAATCCCTGGATCACAGAATGAAGAAGAGGACAGATCTTGCTGTTCCAAGTGCAATAGAAGTTCTGTCTTAACACAAGCTTGTCCTCAGCCCTCTCCAGGGAAGCTCCATTTCTCTAATGACTAAACTTTTTTCACATAAGTGACTGAACCCAGGCCCTGTGCACACCCATGGAGCTGAGCAGCAAGAACCCTCTGGCTCTGCCTTCAGTGCACAGAGTCTCTGCTCCTGCAGCAAGGCCACACAAGCAGCCAGCATTCATACCCAGGTCTCATCCCTACAGCAGGTTTTAATACCTTGTAGCAGCTATTCCTGATATTCTCCCTATCCCCAGCACAAATGAGGGTGTTTGACTCTCATGCTTTGCACTGCTCCTATTAACCTATCACCTCATCTCCACTTCAGCACTCCTCAATGTTAAGTATTTCCCATCCCACATGGTCCTCCTATGTTCCTCCTGCTGCTAACAGCTTTGTGTTGCCAGTAACTGTTCTTTGCTGTTGCTGATGAAAGTCTGTCATTATCTTGGCTATTCATAAGTCAGATTCATACCCTGCTCATTTCAGCACAAGCTCCAGCACTTCCAGGCCCTCATGCTTGTCTGGGAGACCTTCAGTCTTCCAGTTCCCTTAAGAAATGCTTGTTTGAATACCTCACTCTCATATCCCACATCCAAACACTCACATCCACTGATGTGAGCACATCAGCCACCCACCCTCATCCCTCCCACATCCCCTTCAAGGGCAGTTAATTACTGCTCATAAATTTACTCAAAGGCTCTGCCCCTTCTCATGTGGCCTCACGACCTGCCATCACACGCTGCCTTTCCCTGATGGGGATCCCAGGCACAGGGATGCTTCCAGCACATCCCTCCCCAGCTCCACAAACCCTTCCCCCTGTACCTGCACGGGCTGGAGGGGCTCCTCTGGCACGGGCAGGGGCACTGGCACCGGGATGTCCAGCTTTAGCCATGGTGGCTTCTTGCGCTGTAAACTGCTCGTGCTGTCGTGCCGCGCCTCCGACATCGTCCCACGCTTGTCCTCAGGCCTAGAGAGGAGAGACACCAGAGTCAGGAGGGAATCTGGCTCACCCCTCACAGCCCATGCTGGCAGGGTGAGCAGAGGGTTCTCCTCCCAGCTGTGACTGATGGGCCCCCAGCCCCACGTGGGATGAGTTCCCCAAGCGCCTCGTGAGGGCTCGGGGGTCACAGCTTGTACCCACACTGCTCATTCATCACCTGACACTAAAGGACACAGAACCTCAAGCCAGATACAGACATTGCAGTCACAGAGCTGCCTCCCATTAAGATTTTTGCTGAGACTACTGTGAGATCCAGATTCCTTAAGAACAAGCCATGAATTAAATCTTAATGAGATCTGGATCCAGACCAACCAGCTAAGTAACTGCAGTATCAAAAGCCACTGACCTCCCTCTAAAACCAGCTTGTGACTCACCAACACCCTCTTTTGCCCACCCAAAGCCAAGCACCACACTTTCCAACCCACCCACCACTTAGCAATTAGCAAGTGGCCATTTCTCATCACTGTTTCTAATCTCTTTTAAATGTGGTGATTTTCTAGAAACATAATACAGTGCACAGAGCAATACCAGTATAGCATGAACATTAGAGAACTGGCACTAATCCTGAACTAAGAGTGGTTTTCATACATAAATAATAATGATATGGTATTTAAATAAAAACCGCTGTGTAATCCAAACGCTGCAGTGAGCAGAGTGACTCGCTGTCATTTTGCCCACTCTGCTGCAGTTTTGCCCTCCTTTTTGGGACCACAGGAGTCCTTCAGGCTGGCAGAGCACCCACTTCACTGTGCATGCTCGGAAAAAACAGGTTTCACTGGAGGCAGATCAGCTCAGATGCCTCCACGGGTACTTTCCAGCCTAAACTGTGCTATGAGTTTGTATTTCTTCCTCTCCTATCACACACACAACTTCAAGTGAACAGTGGGAAGCATGTGTGCTGAATGGGACAACAGATTCCATTCCCTGCGGGCTCTCTCCTTGCATGGCCCTAGCCTGGCCTGTGGCCCTTAGCCACAGGGGACAAAAATAATCAAGTGCCCCAGCCTCTTCACCACAGTGGACAGATGGAATAAGCAACCAGTTAAATCAGCAGGCACACATGCTTTGACAGGGAGTAGGAAAAAAACTCTGTTGGAATTAAAATTTAGTGCTCTTACAGTGTTAACACAGCCCATTTATTTTAAATGCAGAGTGAGTTTAACACGTAAGGATTCTTCCTTGAGAGAGGCCAAGTCCTAGGCCAGGACCAGAGGGATCTCCACCCTCTGAGACATTTGGCATGCAACAAAACAAGGCCCTGAGCTGCCTGAATTATCCCAGCCTTGCAGTGGCTGAGCCAGTCAACCTGCACGGGTCCCTCCCAACCTAAATTAGGCACTGGTTCTGTGAAACGTGCACTGCCTTGCAGGGCATTGCCACCATCTTCCCACAGCTCTGCACAGGGAACTGCACACAACACTGCAAAAGATACAAGGCAGGGGGGCAGGCAGGGGGGGAATAGGTCAACAAATGGGAGTGGGGGATGATCTGGATTGGGTTAGGAGAGAATCTCATCTAAAAGGAGCTGAAGGCCAGCTGCTGGTTCAGTCGCGGGGCTGGGCCGGCTGCCAGGAGCGCTGTGCTCAGCTGAGCCAGAACGACAGAAAGGGAGGACTCAGCTGTAGGTGGATGAAGGTTGGGTTTCAGCAAATACCACAGGCCCCCAAAAGTCTGGGAATTCATGATCTAGCCTGTACAGACATGCCCTTCATACATGCACCACAGTCCTGTTGCACAGATGCAGCGCTGTGCATGAGAGGGACACAAATCCTTCCTTCCCTCCCTGCTGAGCTGCAGGGGTGGCTAAATACAACTGTTCAACTTCCTGCAAGATAAAAACAGTGAGAGTATTAGGGGAACTCCTGCCTGTGCTTGGTATGAGTAAATCTGCCATGAGACACGATTTACTGAAAGGTCTTGCAAATTTGTCTTCATAGTGAGGTCAGAAAGCAAAGCAGATTTCTCATACCTGAAATACTCCGGCAAAGAGCTTCAGCATTTACCTCTGAGGATCACAAACACCACATATCCTCAAGGTGTCCTAATCAGAGACCAGCCAAAAGAGACAGAGCCACCACACTGGCATGAACAAACACAATCTATTTCACACAACTCAAGAGCCTCCTTCCTGTGCCTTCAAGGGCAAATTCAGAGCCTCCAAAGTAGCAACTCTGCTTTTTCCAGCATCTCACCACTGAGCCAACATCACTCAACATCCTTCTTGTCTACCTACAGAGCAGCCTTTGTGAGCAGGAGCTCTGGGTGTAAAGAATACAAACGTGTAGGATTTGCAGCTCTATCAATCAGTGAGGCCAGGCCAGGAAGGCACAGGATGAATCACGCCCGTATTGCCCGAAAGTTGTTGCAATAACATGAAACCCTGTGAAAGACTTCTGATTAAATCTGGTTTGAGTTTCCCCTCCTAAATTGCCACAGACCACAGGCAGTGATGTCCATGTATCTTCACTGGCTTCCCTGCCACCCTGGCAGACTTGCACATGGGTGCACACACTTGCCAAAGAGGACATGCAGGGGTAAAGCCTGTGGCCTTGTAATTACCCCCAAAGTGGACTTAACTTTGTATTTTAGGCAAGGTGAAGATGTCAATATGAAATTCACATTCTGAAAGAGCAATGGATTGCTCTGCTTTCTCCTTGCTTCAGCAGTTAAAGAGTTCTTTAAGCAGCAAAGCATAAAAATGCATATATAATAACTCTCTAAATGCATTCAGTATTTAAACCTCAGATGAATTTCCAGAGTGGCTGCAAACCAGAGTATATAGGAGCAAATCCCTCTACCAGTTCAACCTTCTTTACTCACCATCAGGTTCATTTCCCACTAAAAGAGTGCAGTGAAGGCAGAGCTGCTCAGCATTCCCAACTCCCTGCATGCATTTGGAGTGGCCAAAAATAAACCCTACAAACACCCAGGACTGCATCAGGCCTTGCCAGGGCAAGCACTGTGAATTCTGTATGAATAATCAGCCACAGCCCAGGTCAGGCAGCTGCCTCTGCCCCAGGCACAAAAAGGCCCGGGGTATGGTCATGGGAGACAGGTCTCCAGGGGTTGACAGGGAGCCTGATGTGGATCCAGCTGAAGCCTTACTCACAGGCTTCTTGTGCCAGAAATATCTTTGCATGTAACAGTCCTGTATCCATCTCAACATCCATCTAGTGGTTATTATTCCAGAATTTATCCAGATCATTTTTTAATCCAAGCAAACTTCTAGTGTTCACAACTGCACTGACAAAGCTCCAGAGCTGAAACACATGCTGTGTGACTCCAGCTCATCTGCAAACCTGCCATTCCCTGGGTCCACTTACTGCTCTGTAGTTCTTGGACTAGGAGAATGATCAGCTTTTCCCTTTCCTCTTTCTCCATGCAAGTCCTGACCCTACAGATCTCTTCCATGCTCTTCCTATCATCCCCTCTTCCCACACACATATCCAGAAGCTCAATTCTCCTACGGGGCTGTTTCAGACCTCTTGCACTTGCTTAGTTTGGACCTTGCTCCACCAGCATCACAAAACTCAGGAATATGAAAACATAAGGCTGAATGAGAGGTATTTGCAAATCCAGCTTCTTCTAACTGATCAGCTGGTAGCAACATAAAAATTATTAATAATGTCCATTTCAATTAAAACAAACAAACAGAAGAAAAAACATATCAATGGCAGACAGTCTGGGAAATTCATCTTCAAAAGGTCTGTGCCAAAGCAAGGTCACAGAACCAGAATGAAAGGCAAATCCACTGTGCTGTGGGTCAGGCTAAGAAAGGGGAGAGCACATTAAATACCAAAGTTGGCACATGATCAAGGAAAGCTGCTTAGTGAAATCTACTGACCCAAAGAGCAAAGGAAAAGCTTTGCCCAGAAGCCTGAGCATGTTCCTAAGACTGACAGGCATCCTAAATACATTTAGAAGCTTGCACAGTCATTTCAAAGAAAGACCATTCTTCCATTTAACCAGACAACTGAAGTTATTCCCATGTTGATTTCTTTACTTCCTAAATCTCTATTTTACCAGCATTCCCATTTAAAACAATGCTGGCTTTTTCCCCCCCAAGAAACATTCCAAACAAAAACCAAACCAAAACAAAACCCCAACTTAATTCAACACTACAACACAAACAAACAGCATCTGCTTTTTCCAACAGCACTGCTCCTTTCCAGCACAGTGTGTGGAGACACCCCCAGGAGTAACACACACAGGGGTAATTCCACTGCAATCTGAGCACCATGCTCAGACTCCAGCTGTTTTTCTCCATTTTTCAAACCTCATCACTGCAACAATTTTATTTACAGTGCCTGCTACACAAAGTCCCAGGCAAGCCCCATGTACCTGAAGGGGTCTGGCTGAGGCACAGGAATCCAGCAAAGAAAGCAGGATCCTCACAGTGCTCTCCAGACAGGAGGAGCCAGGGGAGCCAGAGGAGACAGCTCCTGGCTGTGCCTCCCTCCAGGAGGATTGCTGCTGGCACGGCAGGGAAAAGGCAGGAAGTCCAAGGAGAAGAGGAGCAATGGGTTTTTAGGCTGCCAATAAAACCATCTAGCATGGATCAGACCCAAGGAGCTCCAAACAATATCCCAAACACCAGGCGTGAGCCAGCCCTTTGAAACAGGCCAGATGGAGGGGCTGAGGGCAGGCAGGGACAGGGAAGGTGGGACAGGCCACTCCTGGGGAAAGCTGCTAAAGGCTCAGCAACACTCAGGCTTTGCTGAGCCCACCACCACTGCCCACCCTAAGAAAACACCTGAGAAATGAAACAAAGCCATCAGCACTGCCCAGGGCCCTGCTTTCCCAGCATGGGCTGGGGAGCTGGGCAAGGCTGTGAGGCTCTGCAGGAGCTGGGTCTGAGCAGTCCATGCAGCTCTTTGGGCCCTGCCCTGCAGGCAGCTGGCAGCACTGCCATGCCCACACACACCCCACTGTCCCTCTCACTGCTCCCTGCCATGCACGAGCTCTGC